CCCTGAAACCACCCAATGTATGATAAATAGTCCAATACTAGTACATGCATGGTCTAGGGACCGCAATTTAGGGTCTTGACGTCCGCTACCCCAGTGTTGTTAGGCATCAACACATCAACATTGCATTCCGCAAGGTCAAATTCTCCTGGATATCACCGAAAACAAACCAACTGAAAACGACGCCAGTGGAGCTTTTGGTTTAAAAAGGACCTCCTTGGGCTGCGCTGCCACTTCAGCACCGCTGGGTGCGGTCCAACCACAACCGACGGCAGGTCACGGTTTCTGTCACCCACCCGCGGCTCGGTCGAAGGGGTTCACGTCGCATCGAATCCGGGGGTCTGCTGGGTCCACCGGGCCAAACTTTTGCAAGACCAGCGACAGAATGGGCTTGTGGATCCTGGAACTACCCGAGATGGGCTTGGGGTCGAATAGGCTTGGGGTGCGAGGGACGGTGTTTCAAGGCTCAGGGTTGGACGAAGTCAAGAACAAACATATCAGTGGAATTGGATCCCTTCAAAATTATTTTAAGTGACGTTGGGCTGCTTGATCGCGCTTGATCGCGCTTCTTTGGAGGAAAAACAGAGATTGGATTCTCCAAAAGGTGATGTTCACAATTGTTCACCATGAACCACTGGGTCTACATGGGTGTGATATGGTCTACAGCTCAAGGACCCCTCAGTTCGACCTCGAAAGTTGGGAGGTCCTATTATCCCCTATTAAGATACAAACCCACATGAGCTCTGCAAAATACGTATGATAAGGCCTTTACTTAGTTCATCTTGGGAGGTTTCTTGCGGTGCTCACATGTGAGAGACTGGGTGAAGGGCGGCTGGGGAAGACTGGGTTCGCTGCACAGCTGAGACATCGACAGCTCAGTCCACCCCCTTCACTTCGGACGGTGTCAGTGCGACCGCCCTAGACTCCAACGAAGACCACCTTCCCCGCCCTGGACCGAGTATTGATCCCTAGATTTAGGTCCATCCTGGCCAAAAGGAATCCAGGTCCATCAACGGTCCAGCAGGGGGAAGATCATGGGAACATGGGAAGGGCCGCTCGGCGCCCCGGACGTCGGTGGTCCGGTTCCGCTCTCAGACAAAGCCACCCATGTCCAGGAAAACCAAAGAGAAAGCCTCAGAAAAAGCGGCCGGAGGCCATTTTCGCCGCGCGAAACGGGTCAAGAAGAACTGAAGAGCGTCTCAGCCGTCGTAGTTCTCGATGGAGTGAAGCCGGGACAGAAGAGCCCACGGCCCACAAGGACGCGTGATGCATCGCGAAGACATCGCGAAGGCATCGCAGAGCTAAGCTTATGTTGAGGAAGTTAAGCTTCCACTAGTGATCAACATCATTAGGACATATTAGTAAATACATAGGAAACAATTAGCTTAGCGATGTTTAGCGGCTATGCTGCTTAGGTGTGTGAGACATCGACAAATCACACCTTTCAGGTGGTCGACGTGCCTCACACACCAAGACAACTTGATGAGGCTGGACGCCGTGACATCTTTCTGATCAGTCGACGTTGGTCTGTCTATTTTTTTCCGGATCTTGGTGCATGAAAAACCAATCATTTGAAAGGAGACTAGTTGAGTTGATGAAATCACATCCTCTGAATCAGCCTTGATCGTACTGTATCCTCAAACTTCACCCTGCCAAGATACCCTTGAAACGCATCACTAGCGGCATGAGAAAAAAAACAAACAATTCTCTTGATCGTTCAGGACTGGAAAGCATCAACAACTTGATCTACCCTGAGCGGTGGACCAGACTTGGTGTCCAATCCTGGAAAGTTGGTTGATATTATATATTGATTATTAATGGGATTGACATGGAGTTAATAGGGGTTGACATAATCCACCATTAAATTCCTTACACTATAGTGCATGTTAAAGTATAATCCCCTACCAACACGATATTCAACTGGTGATTGTACAGCCAGCTCGCTAAACATGAGGCAATCATTGCGCAAAATGTAAGGCAAAAGTAACAGATAACACAAAGGATATATAAGGTCTCAAAAGGAACCAACCATGAAACATGTCATTAAACAATAGATTCCTGCAGGCACAAGGTACCCTCGTATCCACAAAAACGTGGTTTTATGTGTTCCAATATACCTCATTGAATTAGGAGCAGTTACAGCATAAAAAATTTAAAGCCCCTGTCTCTATATATGAGGCTCAAGTAGACATGGTCTCAATATGCTGTAGTGGGTTCAGAGTAGATGGCAGCCCAAGTCCGGTGGTGCAAGGAGATGGCAGCGGACGCCGATCGCTCTAGCTGGGAGGTCTTTTTCTTACACCGGGTGGTTTCAACGAACGAATGAGGCCACAGTTTAGTGGAATAATCTCAAGTAAAGGTTGAACACATACTAGTAACAAGAAGCCACGAACGGGGCTCCTGGCCTTACTACTAGGAGCAAGGACGCTACTAGGGGCTCCTCATACAAATATCTGAAACCAATAGCGCGACTTACGAATCTGTCCAAGCCAATCTGAAACAAATAATACATTCTTTAACATTATTGGTGCTCTCAACTCTCAACATGAATGCCATGGACTATAAGCATAAACTTATAATATGTGCACACATCAATGGTCACGTCTAATCAGCCTCAATATGGATTCATATGCGCCGAACTCTGGATCCTTCAGAGAAATATCCCCTCGACGTTCATCCGATCGAGCCATCGGACTGCGAACGGGTAAGACTTAGATTCCAACAGGACCACTGCCTCGACCTTTGTCTCGTGTCCTTCTCGAAAGTACCTGGTATCAAAATAGTATAGGATGAAGCCATGTTCTGATCAATTGAATTCATTTTGGGGCATCCCAAGTCACTTGATGGCTGAAGAAGTCTGCGTCACTAGACAGTCTAGTGGACATTGTCACAGCCTACTGCACCTTGCCTACTTCACCTAAGCAAAGGTCTGCCGGTCTTCGGGTCTGCATGGAAGTGCTCATTGTTGGGCGTGGTCTGGGAGAACAAACGCCATCCGGCCGAGTCGACCGGTGCTTGTGGGTGAATTCAGTGTCAGGCGCAGCCAGCAGATGAGCGGTGATTGGTTCCTTCCGCCAGCACACACTGGATGATCCTTTGCTGAGGCTCTTGTTCCCTAGTTTCAATGGGATGGATGTGCCAAACCGCGCGAATCACCAAGGGTTTTGAACAACTCTTTTAGTAGCTCAGACTCTGTTTGACCAGATGCTTTGTCACCAACCACGCGGCCGGTCCACTTGCCATTCGAAAGACACGTTTCACCCACCGACTTCCGCTGCTGACTTCCGCCACGTCGTGTCGAAAGGCGCTGCGACTTCTGCGCGGTGGTGCCGGGATCGGACACCCGGAACCACTCAGCACACGGCTCGGCGGTTCAAAGCACGGGCAAATCAACCCGTGCTTGAAAAAGGTGCTGATGGATTTGTTTCCCCCGAGACAGCGATGGCGATTGACTGAGATCTGATCTGTAGAGCTGCCAAGCAGGTTCATGTCGTGTCTTTCGAGTCCCGTGAGTGGATGTGACAAGGGGCAATCCCTATCCTCTCAAGCATGTTCTGACGCAAGATGAGCATCCAGCTTAGAACCCAAAAGCTGGCTGTGCAAGGCAAGGCTGCCCTACTCGAGGGTCAAGAACAGAGTTAGATGGTCCTTCTCTGTTTTTGGGGATTCTGAATTACTGATTGAGAAAGTGACCTAACAAATGACAAGAAAAATCGTTAATTGTCCGTGGAGACATAACAAAACAGTCTATACAGCCCCAATGGAGATCAGCCTCTGCTTCTGTCCAGAACCGGCGAATCACCCACCGAGCCTCTAGCACAAAAAATGCGGAGAATCAGAATGGACCTGTTACACAGATCACTGGCACGCAAAACTGCACTCCACATACAACGGACAGAACACCCTCTATAGAACCCCCACTTAGTGGAGTATAGAAGGCACCGAAGGGGCCTAATCAGCTCTCCGGACTGCGAGTAGTGGAGATTTCGCCAGCAGAAATCCGTCTCCTGTGATGTTTTCGGCAGGTGCGCGCCCTGCATGATGCGCCTGCATGGTGCCTCGCGACCGTCAAAACGGATTGGGTCAGGGCACCAGGAGCCAGGACAGTTGACCGGTTGACCTCACCAGCAGCTCGGACTGTCCGCGGCTACCGAAACCGACCGAAAAACACCCAACGAAACAACTCCTGATTGAAGATCCACCACCGAAAGGCCTTTTTTCCCCCCCGTACTGAGCACTCCATTGGCTCAGTACGGGCGGCTCTCTCTTTCCTAAGTTCGTCGTGGTGAAACATGCTCGAATTCAGCCCCCACCGAACTGACCAAAGAAGTCTGAGGGGTCATGCGCCAAAAGCCCAGCATGAGTGGAAATTGGGGGGGGGGGTCCGACTCCACCTGAAAGAGGCATGGGCATCTGAGTATGGGTTTGATCCTTTTCCCACAACTGGAGGGATAACACCATGCTACTCACAACGCTCCAGGATCCTGGATGTTCTTTTCATCTGGAACCGATGTGCCCATGAGTGACCTCGGTGACCCCGTCATCCCATGAACTTGGTGCTGTCACCAAGAGTCTCACCATGGAGTCAGACTCCACGCCTCTACGGTATATAACCACCAAGAGGAGACCACAGAGTCTACATGCGCCGGTGACTACCGAGACCGGCACGCAAATAAGGGATGGGTTTCGGAAGGAGAATGGGGTTCCGGTCGCGATGATATCGTGCTGCTGTGACATTAAAATCAATTGCGATACTGTTGAAGTTCCGGATGACCCCTCAACACCCAACGCACGACGTTCTTCGCACGAAGAAGAAAGAAGAAGAAGAAGAAGAAAAAGAAGAAGAAGAATAAGGAAGAATAAGAAGACAAAGAAGAAGAATAAGAAGAAGAAGAAGGAAGAAGAAGAAACGATAAAGAATAAAAAAAAGATACACAAAATAATACAAACGAGAAGAAGAAGAAGAAGATCACAAACAAAAATCGAACGCGCTTCGCACCTCTTCAGATTTGGAAGACAGATCCTGAAGATGATTGTCTAGACATGGAACGCATCATCGTCATCGACCTGGACTTCGTCAAACGGGAAATTTGGACCTGCATAGGTGAGTTGGAGGGATCCTTTTTGAGGACAACGACTAGCGCATGGGTGACCCTGGGTGAAAGCCGTGATGTCCAAAGGTCTTCTTCTGTGCATACAATACTCCTACTCTTCCTCTCCATAAGTTGTTGGAAAAGGTGCTTGAGAACCCAAACTTCCAGGCAAAGGAAGTCCAGGCCATCACAAAGATAGGACAAAAGATCTTCGGAGCAAACATGCTGAAGTTGCAAGGAGTGTATGAGTGTCTTCTGAACCGCCCCATAGAATTCCACCACCACAAAGCAAGAAGAACACCTCAACCTGATAGTCTTGCCTATAGGAAACACACCAGCACCTTCAAAGGGATCACAATTAGAAGCATCCACACTCCCAATTACCATTGGACAACCCGAAAGGAAGGTCCATGCAGACCTACCTGGAACCTCTTCTTGGGCAGACATTTCTGTCTATTGTGGGCAAAGGATAAGACACCTTTTCCGGTGCTTAGGCATCCTTGCCGCATGTGGGCGTTCGAAAGTCCCCTCTCAGCGTGCTTGTCCTTTGGGTGGCAATGCTCAAAAACAATAAGGACCCACCCACCACTGGCTCCAGGAACTTTCCTAGTAATGAGGTGCAATTGTTTTATTAGGAACATGTTTCTCTTTTGCATGAACTTTGTTTCATCGTTGCATTTGTTTGCGCAGGTGTTCTTCCCGTCACCGAGGCATTCTTACCTGTGAATCGGGCGTTCATGCCCATTACTTGGGCTTTCACTTGTTCCCCCTGACTGCAATCAGTAGTTGGGTAGACAAAGGAGTGGTAGCCTTTTTGGGGGGAGTGAGTGACATGAGTTTCCAACACTTTAGACCGGGGACGGGCAAACGTTTGCTTTCTCAAAAATTGTCAAGAGTTGGTTCATTCAAATTCTGGTTCTGCCTCCATGTAAGAATGCATGCAAGTGTGTGACGCTTTTTTGACCCTCGAGGCAGCTTAGACGTCCATTGTGAAAACGGGCACAGTTTTCTGATTGAATATGAAGTTGGGCAGATGTGCAATATGTGGATGTAACATGTACAAATGAGGTTCTAGGTATAAGGGGATGTACTATTTAGGGGGCTCTGAGGTGCTTTGATGCAACAACCCAGTTTCTGAGAACAAGGTGCACCAGGATCGATACTAAACAGCCACACCGGAGCACTTTCCACTGAACCCGAAACACCCAGGCACGGGCTGCTGTTCGCACTGCCCACACTGCCCACGCTGCCCGCGACAATGGAGGTACACTTCTGGATGTTGCCGTCCAAGGCCTTCCAAAACAAAAAATAAGCCAGGAACTGATATGAAGTGCATCGCAATTAGTAGCTATAATTTGCTACTAGTAACAAGAAGCTACTAGTAGCTCCTGGCCCCTGGCATTACTACTAGGAACAAGATGGAACAAGAAGCTAGTAGGTTGGAGGCCATCGCTACTAGTAGCAAGAAGCTACTTAAGGACCGACGCCAGGAGAGTCCGGTACCGTCGGCTTTATCAGCCCTGTAGTGCTCCTGGCCCGCTTCTCTGAAACTCGGTGTACGGTGCTTGGGGTGGGTGCCAGGGCGTCTAACCACCGAACCTGAGGAAATGGTTGGAGCCCTAGGGTCGAAGAACAAGCAGTTTGTTGACTCAACAGCTACAAGGGCTCCTTGAGCTAAGCCAAACAGACCCATGCTTCTTTCCCTATCTCAGTAGTCATAGGGCCACGGTAGGACCAAGCCTTGGTCCCAACGTGCTGGACGCAGCGAATTCAGATCGTGATGCTGGTGGGCTGCGCTAGATCCAAGATCCATAGACCTTCTTTCATATTGAATTGTACTGTATAAGAGTCAGTCATGGTAAGTGAAGCTTAGCTTAATTGGCACGTCGGCCGGTCACTATCTTTGGTGATCACCCGGTCATCATGGTCATCTACGATGCTGGATGATGCGTCGACTGGGCAGTCAGACCGGTCGCTGCATCGGTTCCGCCGAATCGGAGGTGCCTTTTGGTGCCAGGTATGACGATTCGGAGGCCCCAAGATCCTAGGACCCTGGCCCTGAGGAGTTCAGGAGGGGGTTCTATCGGGCAACACGAATTTCATACGTACGTCGGCCAGTCCGGGAAGATCCTTGCCGCGCGTGCCTGATCTGGGATCTGTTAGTTGTCTTTTTGTCGTGTTCCGTGCGAATCTGCAGATTATGCAGGAAGGAACATGGCATGGCCCATGGCCCGTCCGGCCCGTGCGTCCAGTGCATCACTGCCGTAGAGTTGAGGAAAGCCATCGTCCAGGCGGCTTAGCGAGCTGATCCGCTTCAGGCTACGATGGAGTGAACATCTTAAAACGGAATTCGCTCGCTTGTTGGAGCTCTTTTTTGGCCTCTACCAGCACTGCGACTCTACAAATCTGGAGGTGAAACTGGTAGACACTTTAGATATCTTTAGACCAATAGAGTCGCAGCTGGTGACCTGTTGGAAGTGGGTGGCCAAATGAAATCTCCCTCCGACAGGACTGGACCTTCACTTCACTGGATATACTGGATCTTCACTGATCTTCACTTCACATCCCTTCACCGAAAACAACGTTGGCCCCCGCCCAAAACAAGCAGCACCAGTTGGATGGCTCGACCTCTGGTTTCGGAAACCACTGACGACGCGTCACATTGAGACGACTGCCCATGGAAGCCTCCAACAAATAGTCCGGCACCTTCAACTCTTCCGCCAAGTCCAAAGCTGTCTTCCCTGCACATCTGGAGATCGTGAACACCGGAAAGTGTCCAGGTGAATTTGGGACAGGAGGTCTTTTTCCGAAAAACCATTGTGGGGTCGGAAGATTTTTGGGGAGATCTTGGTGATGAGGGTTCCATCTGGGTGAATCTGAGAAAAGAGCATTTTCTTCGTGATCACCCCGTATCGATGTATAGTCCGTATAGTGTTCCTTCAAAGGAACAGCAGCTCAAAGCTCCTGGTGACCTGGTCTTGAGTGTGTTTTGGTGGTTCTAGATGGTGCTGGATGTCCTCCATCAACTAGATTGGCAAGATAGTGTGCTACATGATGTCAAATGACAACAAAAACAAAGGACAGCAACAAGTATGACGACAACAACAACAAAACCCTATTGATACCCCAACCCACCCACACGGCGCTATTTCAATTATATTACCCGGCCCCGCTCACAGTCAAACGATTACAACTCTCATCAATGGACGATATATGACGATATAAAAATTTTTTTAAAAAAAAGAAAACAGGATGCAATACAAAGAAACACATTCCCTCTTTTCCACCAGCTGTGTGTGCTTTTGACACAAGTAAACAGTTTGTGTCGAAAACCACTGAAAACTCGAAGCTTCGACGAACGAGCGACTGGTCGCCAGTCACGCATGCCATCAACTAGTACTCCCGAACCCTGCAATAACGACATGAAAGCACCACCTTTGTTTGTACCGGAAATCATCAAACACAGCCATCCACTTGGTCCTGATTCTTCGAAGTGTATCCCGGATGGGATCTCAGGAGGTCTGGAGGGTATCCCGGCGATCAACGATGACACCGTCAAAAAGCAGCTTCAAAGTGACCTTTGTGGAGACATGTGGTGTCATGTGGTGTCCCTGTTCTTTGACCTTTCCATGCCTTTTCGTGACCTCAAACGAACAAACACCAGCAAAAACAAAACAGTTCGGTCAGAGCCAGGAACTGCGAAGCCTGACGGACCAACCACCAACCCTCTCCGTCTCTCCCTCTCCGTCTCTCCGTCACGTGTCGTCGCCTCGCGCGTTGGTTCGGTCGGTGAGGGCGCCCTCCACGAGGAGCGAAGAAGCCACCTGACCGGTCCCAGCGGGCGGAATCGGTCACTCCGTGGATCGGATGGAGAACGAGTTACAGTAAGCTCGATCTGAAGGTATACTTTGGAAGGTGAGTGGGAGTCCTAAAATCGATAGAATTCTTATAGTCTTATAATGTCTTATAGATTATTCAATCATGTACGAGGGCTGCTAGATCTAGCTCCATAGCTGAAGCTATTAATTAATGGAAGAGGAGCTGAACGCTGCCCCTGGTGGATCTGAGGGCCATTCATGACGTCGAATTTTCCGGACAGAGAACAGCGAGTATACTGACGCTGAAAAGGAAGCTCCAAACGACCCTGACACTCCATGGGAGTGACTGTTTTATTGACTTACTCTCAGCGCCCCAATATACGAATATACTATACGAGTTATATACAGTACGTAAGGATTAGTGTACTCTGTACATTCGGGTGGTTGAAAAGGAGTCAAATATGTATACCAGGACCATCGATACATAATGGGTGTCCTGGCTGGACTACCCTACACCACTCAGGGATTTCCATTGGACACCCATTGGATGGTACAGGTATACATGCCATACAACATGTCGTGGCGCTGGTGCAGCAAGTACCACCAACATTCCATCAAAACCCATTCCCTCTCTGGGCCGTCACAGTGGCCAACAAACGCCCCCTCCCAGCGTGGCGACACACACGGCCGGGGCCTCATAATTCCCACACAACATGGCCAACATCAAGGGCGTGGAGCCCCGACAGTGATATCCTCAGCGGTCTGTCTCAACTTGCGTGTCCGGGAGACGGGCATTTTTGGGGCCCGAGGATAGCCAGTCCTTCAGTCGACCGGTTGGGAGCTGAGCTAGAGCGCTCAATTGCTCTCCAAAATCCTCCAGTTTCAAGAAGCATGAAGCTAAAGCTATAAAGACATGAAACGCATGGCGCCTTCAAGATGCCTACCCGATACCTATCCCAATCATTACCAAAAAAAGAGACTCTAGCGAGTACCCCGGCTGTCAACAAGACCCATCGAAGGTGTTCCAAAAGGATTTCCACCGGTTCGGCCGGGGCTTCAATGTGCTTCAGTCCACTTCTCACGCAAACAGAGCGTGTCCCAAGACCCTGCAAGAGTCGAAGAAAAGAGGACCCCGCAAAGTCCACGCCCATCGCAAATGGGCGCACGGACAGAGATGGAGAGTGGAGGAGGAGTAAAGAACTCCAACTCCGCATCGTTCCACGTGCACACCATTTTGGAGTCTTCCTGAGATTCTTGAAAAGCCCTGAGGCACCCAGCTAAGCTGTCCCCGACATGTCCGGACGCCTGGGCGATGAACATGTCCCCACCAGACTCCGCGTAGTATACCGTCCGCGCCCGGCACGCCGGCGTCCGGCGCCCTGGCGATCCGAGGGTCCCAGGCGGGCCATCACGGTGTTCCGCTTCAGATAGCGGAACTGCATACCTTTGAAGCTCATCACCAGCCTGGATCGGAGGTTCTTTCGTTGGCCCTTTTTGAACGTGAAACAGAACCGGACACCGGAACCGTCGATACCAAAAAGAGGTGAACAAACACTCACAGGCTTTGGGGGAACCCAAAAAGCACGCAACAAACATACACATAATACTGTCTGTCGTTCGTGGCTGCTTATACTGAACCAGGTGACAAAGACTCCCCCTTCAAAATGTTTGCCTCATGCCAAAGGTCGTTTGCAAGACTAATGCTGCTAGCCCTGCGGCCTGCATCCCATTTGCGGGAATTTGTGCGCAAAGTACGGGCGTCAATTTGGGGATGCTGCGCTCGAAAAAGGAACCTCTGCAAATGCAAGGTACCTTTGGGGATTTGGGGGGAATAAAGTGGATTTATTGGTTTGCCTGGCAACTCTGGCCAACTTAATTGGAAGCAGAGGTGGTGTTCGCCATGTGCTTCTGCTTTACCTCCGTCAAACTACAGAAGCACAGGCATGTTCTGTTCTGCCGTTACAAACCCTGCTGGATCTGAACCTGAACCTGGCCGTTTTTGCATTGGTCACAAGGGAGTTTGGGAATCCCAACTGGAACAAGGACATACCACTATCCCAAATTGCTCCAACATGTCGACGGAGCTCAATTTTGCGCTAGCAACATCAAAGTGCCCATGGAGCAAAAACACTCCAGGAATCCATGGAGCACACAGCCGGACGGTGAAAAAATGGATGCAAAAACCATTTTCCTCTGCAACCAGGCAGTGGTCCATTTTTCCATGTGAGTGAGGAGTGAGTGTATACCCAAAGATTTACTGTTTGGTGTTTGGTTCGGTTGACAAAGACGGGACAAGGGATACCTGGGAACTTCCTATCCATCCCATCGCGTCATTGGAGATGCACGTCGAAACCAATAACCAAGGATGAACGTTGAGACTTCTGTTGACAGGGAGACTCTCCTGTGAGGACGGTTGCCAGAGACTCTCCTGAACTTCAACGTCTGATTCTTGGGTGATGTGTTTTTATTCTCCATGTCATCATCAAAAGGGTATGGGTATCCCCTGGCAGCCTCCAAGCACTTGAGCTTTGTTAGACCAAGGAGATCCGACCGCGACACACGCGCACCACACGGCACACGCGCAGCAGCGCCAGGTACGTCCGCTGGTGTCATGGTTTCGGCATGAAAGGCCCCGTCCTTGCGATACAAGACATAGGGTAGGGTTCATCCACATCGGCACCAGCCTTGGATCAAGTGAGCGACAAGGAGGATCTATCCCCGTGCCTTTGTGGGGAACTTCAACTTCAGGGATGTGTGCAGAAAGACCTAAGAACAACCACGAGACCAACAGAAACCCAAAAGCGAAAACAAAACCCTTTGTTCCATCCCGGTTTCAACATGGTTCAACCATGCGGAGAGCTCTAGGGGTAGAAAGTCCTAGAAACCACTATTGCCTGCTGACCAGTTGAACATCAAATTCCGACCTCAACAACGCATCATGGACCCTTCATGGCGAAGCATCTGCAGGGTGAAAGGTGGTGAAACCGAATGGCTGGGCACACGGCACACACAACGGTCACCCCGGCACCCGGCACTGCTGGGAATGAACACCAACAAACCAAGTCGAGAGCCAGGAGCCAGGCCAATGGGGGGGCCAGGCCCTGCCGGGCCCGTGTCAAGAGTCTCTTGATGTCCCTTGAGAGGTTGGGCATGGAGAATGTGTCCGTCCTGGAATGTCCTAGAGAAGGAGGGCTCACTCTCAGCTCAGCTCGCGAAGCCGGCTTCGCTCGCACCAGCGCGAAGAAAAGGTGGACGGATCACTTCCATCTCCAATCCCGAGGTCACTCCAACAAGGACTAGGACCCAAATCTCGGATTTCTTCGAACTTACCCTTACTAGCTATACAACCTGCCAAAGAAAGTCTGTTGTGAAAACACTCCAAACCGATTCTCGGTGCCCAAGCAGCTTCAATCAGCCTCTCCACGACGGGAGCTGTGCCTTTCAACATGGCTGCATTGTGTAACACGTGGCCTCAGAAGGCCGTCGGACTTGGACGGCGGGACCGCATGGGTGTTTGAGCGAAGCAGCTAGTTAAACACCTGGACAAATGACGAACACTTGTTGTGCAAATACGATGCAGGCCCGTCGTTCTTTCTTTTGAATCATTAAGGGAGTGTGTTCATCCCATAGGCACCCTAGAGTAGATGGCTTTGTTTTGGCTAAAAGCTTGAGTCCTCATTGGATTCATGGGGGGATGATGGGGGATGGATACATTGATCATTGATAGATTGAAGGTTGTTTTAATATTTTTGGGATTTGAGAGCAAGTGAGAACTAATGATTGGGTTTTGGATGATCTGTTAATCATTGCACACATTTGTATGCCCTTGAGCACCCCTTCCGTTTCTGCTGCTGCCCTTTGGTGCTCCAAGAGTTTTTCCAAGGCAAAAGGCTCCACAACCACCTGGCCTACTTGGACTCCCCTCCCCCCCCCGCCCTCCCCCGAAGAAAACACACCATCAAGCTCAAGCTCCGTTTTCCACTCCCCGCCGGCGGACCTCGCAGACCTCGCCTCGGACCTCGCTTTTGTTCATCCCGAGTGGCTCATCTCGAAGGGTCGCTGGGACACCTCTAACAACACCTCCACGGCGTCGACCGAGCCACCGGCCGCCGCCATGTGCAAGGCGTGGTCCCCGAATAAGTTCTTCAAGTGAGGATCAGCACCCGCCTCCTCGGCTCACGCCGTGATCTAACCGGTGCGGTGCGGTGTGAGGATCGGATCGGTGGCGACGGTACGGTGAATGAAGAGACACACCGATTCGACTCGAAGGCAGCACCCAAACCAACAGGTCACCACCGTCGCGACTTTTACTATAACCTCCAGCCATCGGAAACCTGTTGAGTTGGTTTCGGTGCTGGTGAAGAAGGGTTCGACGATCCCAGCGCTGGGATCTTGGGTGAACGTGCCTTTTGGTTCCACGGTCCTCGAAATCGATCCCGTTGAGGGCTGCTGGCTGCTTCTCCGTTTCGGTCTGGTGATGGGGGTGAGTGCCAGGGGTGAACTATACCCTCATGAGGATGTGGGACAGGTGCCCTATGGACATGAACCTCTGACTGGCGAGAAAGCATGGTAACATGAAGATCTTCTGCAGAGAAGGATCATTCTTTACTACACAAATAAGGTAGTCTCACTCCTTTTTGGAACATCTCATGAGTCTTCCCAGGACTCCTTTTTCCATCGAGTCTCAACAGCTGCCTCCCATCTGCTTTCCACCAAACACACACACACAACACATCAGGATCTTCCCAGTCTACCTAAGTGACCGAGAAGCCACTGGGATGGTCACTGGGACGGTCACTAGGAAGGTCCTGGCACACACGGTCATCTTCCTTTCTCCTCTCCTCGGCTGGCCCAAGCGTCACACAGGATGCGAATGCCCTGAACGTCGTTCTCCAGGCAGGCAACGCCCAACGGCGTGTGCACCGCTTGGGGGTTCACCATGGCTTTGGCATCGATCAGGAGCCGCATGGCATCCTAGCGAGCTACCGGGTCGTGCGTTGAAACTGCCAGGGTCCCCAGAGAGGAGAGAGGAGATGGATGCGCTTTTCCTTCCATGGCAGTGTGTGGGTACACCCGTCCCACAAGTTAAGATCCAGTGCTTGAAACCTTCTTTTTTTAAACAAAGAAGGTTTCACTGGTACAGTACGTGGACCAAGCGATTGAATCATGACCTCAGAACTGGCCCCAATCTAAAACATGCGTTTGGGCAAAGCAAACCACCACTTGGGGATTTGAGCTGAGAGTACAAGAATGGTGAACATGGTGTACTATGAAGCCTGCAAGCCGCCCACCAAAAGAAGGCACCCGTACGGTCGATTCTGGGCCCTGAAGACCCCACGGATCTGTCAGACCTCAAACAGGACTCAACAGGTTTTGATAGACGCCGGAATGTCCTTACCAAAACGGCCCAAGACCACAGGTCAAGTGGTGATTCCTTCGGTCCAAACACCAGAACAAAAAAAGAACAGGCGGAACCCACGCAGCGTTTAACGTATGCACCCAGCGTCGTGATTCCGAAACCTGGCGCAGATCGTGAGCAAAGCCGAGCCTTAGATGCGCGTAGCTGCAGGGCGTGACGAGCTTTCATCGTTCGCTCGACCGTTTTGGAGGAGTCGCATGGAAAAGACGGATGTTGCAAAAAGCAGGAGATCTCACATCCTATAGATCAAAACACAGTGCTCTTCTTATAACAAACAAGTCACTCCCTATGACGTACTCCCCCTCTAATCTCACCTGGGCTCCCATTGATCAAGCCCCAGTCGGAGCCAGGCCAGTTCGTGCGATGGTGGGAAATCCCGAATCCTTCCATACCATACCCTTCTCCTGATCAAGTGATAAAATATTTAAAGGCATAATTTATCCTGTTGCCTAGAACCCAAACATGACCCCTCTTTTGATGAGAAAAGACTATCTACTTCATCCATGGTCTCCATTGGCACCCAGTGAAAAAAGACACACTGTGTCCCCAATGAGTCCCGGCTAGCCCGCTCCATCGTCCCAGAAGACAGCGGCCCGATGGCCCGGCGATTCTCGGTCGGTCAACCAAAGCCTCACGTTGGAGTCGGTCCGATCGTGGTGTTTCATGGACCCACGAACCGGACTATGACCCGAACCAAGAGCTGCTCATGCTGATATACTCTTGTGCCAGCGCCGAGTTCCTCGAATTCGGACATATCGGGGTCTTTCCAATGGAAAAAACACACACGACCCATGAGACCAACTGGCATCACTATCAAAATGACCCCGTCAACGCGACCCGCGATGGCATCTTGGCCGGTGAATTTCAGGGGTTGTTCAAATGGGCACCCATCAACTGTCTGGGATATTTGGTCACAACGGGTGTAGAATGTCGAAAAAACACATTGATTCACCAGGTATTCCGGTCACCCACCTGCTGGGAGGTTGTGACCTTCGCTGAAAGACCCAGGGATGCTCGATGCGTCATGAATGACCTATACACAGCTTGCTTGGTTGACCAGGTGTGCTCCAAACCCGTCGGAACCTGTGTCCCCCAGGACTCCTGGCCGCTTCTCTGAAACTCGGTTCGATGGTTGGGGTGGGTGACACGGTGTGTGTGTGTGTGTACCTGAGGATATGGTTGGAGCCCTACAGAGGGTCCTTTTGGTTCGGTCCTCATCGTTGATCACTGCTTGAGCAGCTCAGGGGTAGTGGACCCTAAGCTGCTCAAACACCTTTAGAGACCTGAAGAACGTGAATGCTTTTTTTTGGGGGTGAGCCTTCCAAGCTGCGCATGGAACAGCTGACAAGCCCTCTTGTTCAATTTCAAGAAGCCTTTGTCCACGTTGATCTCCGGTCTTCCCTTGCGGGTCTTTGCGTTGGGGCTCACCCCTCGCTTGAGCAGTGCAGCGATCAAGGAAGGATTGCCATTCCTGGCGCAGGAAAAAGACACAGGAACAAGGAAGAACTCGGAAGCGAACATATCAACCCTTCGTGACACAACGCTCCTTGTGGAACTTCCTTTTTCTTTCCGAAAGGCCCCACTTGAGGCCAATCCATTTCTAGGAGAAGTTCAATCAAAGTTTGCTGTATTGTTTTCATGGAAGGAGATCCTATATAGTCACACAAAAGAAAGTCCTGTGGCCTCTATAGCCGGCATGCCGTGGTGGATTTGCTTAAGGAGCCAGTGAAACAGGTCATCTTCCGTTTCGGGGATTCAACCAGGAACCGAAGCAAACAAAAAGCATCTCCCAAGCGCGTCACGCCGCTTCACCGAGTGCTTCCGCGCACCAAATTCATCGAATGGACCGATGGATCGACGGAAGACGGAGATCGGCTATCGCGGACGCATTCAGAAGATAGAGTGGAAAACACTTCGAGCTATAGGTCATTTTTGTAAGTAGTGAATCAGTAGAGTAGACGTCATCTACCTGACCAATGGATGACCAACTTCACTCTACTCCGCTTCTAATCCTGAGGTTTGACTGAAATCATTTGAAATTAGTCCTCCGAGGTTCGACTGAGTTCACCGTGCGGACCCGCCCTGACCACGGTTTCGTGCTTCTTCCAGCACCACGTTTGAGGTTTCTTCCAGGGTTTCGTGTCAGGGAAAATGCTTCTGTGAAATCCTCTGAAAAAACAAAGGAAAACAAGGGCCGGGCACCACCCGGAAGACCAGGAGAATCCCATTCACCCGCCAGCCACCCAGGCGTCTTGAGGTAGACCAAGTTCACTTTGGAGTCTTGAAAGTCTTCCCTTATTGCACATCCAAAGCATTAATAAAATTGGTCTGGACAATATAAGGGATTGTCCGGGATTGTGTTATTTTAGACACCCCATATACCAACTGCAAGAATCTTGAACATCTCCAACAGCACCAAGTCTTCAAGACTTCACCGACCAAGAGTCATGCAAGCGTAGCACATGGGCGACCATCCATCACGGTCGTACTCCACATGATTCCGGAAGCCATTTTGATACCTGAAGAATCGTGGAACGAAGGCGCAAGACGAACGACCGAGCGACCTGGCTGGAACGACCGGCGAGGAAACGACCCCGCGTTGCGAGCCATCTCGCGGATGGCTCTGAAGGGACGACCCCGTGGAGGGGCCCGACGGGGCCAGAGAAGAGGTGATCGAAATGAGGTGTGATTCCTCAAGTTTTACGAGTCGAATCGATTCGCCGTTTTGTTTTACATCGGATCATTCACTGCTTCAAAGAAAACACGTGGAACGTCGCTGTTTTGCAGAAGGGATAGATTCTTGGAGACCCATGACCGCATGGATCACCTCAAAGGTGTGAACACCCTTTCGAAAGGCTCCCAAGGAGCCCGGGACGTCCGCCACACCACGAACTCAAAGGTGTATCATACCCAAACACTCCATGGGACTGCCATATATGCCTACGACCCCCCAAACCACCCCAATGTAAGCATATATGGCATACATGGAGTGTTTGGGATACGCTCAGTAACTTATCAAAAACATGCGCTACGCACGCGTCATCTCTGGATCCCAATAGGCCGAAGAAATATATGCTCGAGCATGTCAACCCAAAGCGGAGTGTGCGCATGCACCAATATGCAGTTTAAAAAAAAAAGACACACCAGAAGAGGGCAGGATGAGTGTTCGGAACAAGACTCTCTAATAGTTCAAAGTTACAAGAATCGTTCCAGAACATCATCTCCTTCGAAGCCGGGCACCATATCCTGGCGGAGTTGCCGGATTGAAAGGGATCCAGAATAGCCTAAACTGGGAACTGTTGCGGCTGTTTCCAAGATAACTGTCGTAATCTTCAGCTCTAGAGGATGTTTAACATATGTTTTCTTTTTTGCAGCCAACTCATTACACAGCCAGATTAGCAAGTGGATCCAGTCCCCAACCTCGCAAAACAATGACTGGGACCCCTATCATCTTCAGGCGGAGTTACAAGCTGCTTGTCTTCAGGCGTTTGACCGGACATCGCGGCTGACCGGTGACGAGGCTGTGGTCGCGGGGGCTTGTTCATGTCGCAAAGAAACTCGGCTGATGTCCGATGTCCTCCTGGAGTCAGTGTTACAGATGTCGACTTTGACCCCAAAATGACCCCTGAAAGCAAACATCAACTCACGAACCCCAAAATGCTGAGGTTCGCGGGCTAAGCTAGGACATTGTGACTTTGAACAAATGAAATCATATGCCAGGAGTTCTTAAGGACTTTATGTATTTAGATGTTTTTATATAGTTATTTTTAGGCCCCAGTACATGGATCCAATGGATTTTCTGAGCATAACCATCTGGGCATCCAATAACCATCCTTGGATGGCACACAGGGATTAGAAAGATGGAGAGGGATGCTCATCATGCTCCCCATTAAGCACCACAAACAAATCTGAAAAACAAAGGTCTCTCGTCATCAGTGTTCTTCGCTAACGAAAAAACATGGCCTCCAAGGGTTTCACCGGCAAGCCCCGAAGCAAGGAGGACTGCTGATTCAGCAAGAACCGGTAGTTGGACAAATCCATACTTTCCAGGCCTTGCGGCAAGTGGCTGAAGCCGGAAGCCGCTGGATGAGGCTTAAGAAAAAGAAGAGTTCTGCCCCAAAGAGTCCCAGGGTCCCCTACCAGTTCAAACACGTTCGCACCAAAAATCCGTGGTAGGGATCCAGTCGTACCGAACCTCAGAAGGTACGACTGGACCCTCCAAACCTGCATAGCCTAGCGGTGTCTCCAATCACCGTACCTGAGAAGGTACTTGGATCCCTAGGGATTGAAACGCGACAGGGAGGGAATTGTTGTTCTGTGTGTGACGTGTAGGTACGAATTCCCCTTCCAACATGGATGAAACATGAGAACTGCTTACGATCCGATCTAATGGAATTGGTGGCTTTCCTTTTAGCAATCCAAACATGTCCCCCACTGGATGACGAGTCCGGCACTCTGGTCGCACGGTCTCTCGAACATCGGACCTGACGAGGGTAGACGTCAGACGTCAGGATCCGTCGAGTCGGAGAAGTCACTAATGGGAAGAAACAAACATCCCAAACATTCCTAAGCCATCCACGGGACGTTTCGCAGTTGCCGATCAGTGGGGGTTTTTCATGATCGTTTTCGCATCAGTTGAAGTGCTGCGCTTTTTGCGCCAAAGAGCGCGCGTCTTGACTCACTGAGAACCACTGTTGACATGGAAATGGCATTATGGACTTGAGAAGTGTCTGGAACTCTTGTCAAGCTTATAGTGTTAAGATCTAGAACTCTTCTTCAAATCACTTGATTCACTTGTAGTTGTGCAACTCTGTGTGATCACAGACCTGTGTGCCGCAGCACTGCACCCCAAAAAGAAATCTCAGTTACTGACTCACCCACTAGTCGCTGACTCACTCACCGAAACCGCAGCCTGCCCCCTCCTGCCCCCCTTCCGCCGCTGACTGTCTCGGGCGCCCCCCAAAAGGACGAGAACCCGCCATCTAACCCGCGGAGTCCCAGTGGCACGAGAGGAGCTTCCTCTTCCAAAACCTCTCCAACACCACGGCGATCCGCTCCCGGTCGGATTCCACGGTAAACATGCCCTGAGAAGTCGGTCGGATGTGGGGATCGTCGCATCAAGCAAGGTGGAGATGGGCCGACCCGGTGGGGATGGGAACCGACTGAAGGAGGTGTTCAGTAGTGGGTGGAATCAGAAAGGCATCCGAACAGTACACCATCTGAATGGAAGCAAGACAAAAGCTTTCAAGATGAGAAGTCGAAATGGTGTTGTCATGGGTCTAGTTTCTAGCCTATTCTATTTTTCAGACCATACATCCATATCATTCCATATCCACAAGAAAGCCTGCATCAAAGGTGGCAGTATTGCCACATTCGTGGGTCCCTACTAAATGACCACTTGGATAGAGTGCAAAAGAAAACATCTAGTTTATGCCAAATGCTTGGTGGCAGAGAACCTCCCACCTTGCACTGGTCGTTGGTTAGGCCATGCACCATCCACCAATCTAGCCGGGCGATGCGCGATGAATTGCGCCACAGCTCGAATCGAGCGCGCGCGCGTGGCCGGAACGCGCCGTGACGGGGGTGCCTCGCCGGGAGAGCAGTTCGTCAGGGGAGAGACCCTGAGCTCCTGGTGCATGCCGCTCTTGACCATGATCCAGGATCCTGCCAGGGGCAAATCCAGTTGATGCTGCTGTGGAAAGCGCTTCCATCCAAGGATCTTTCATGGTGAACCGCAGGCTGCTGTTGCTTCTGATATCTGTGGACATGGCTCAAAAATGCTCAAAAGACAGAGCACGATCTCAATCCCACTGCATCCCACAAGCACATCATCAATCTTAAAACTTGTGGGTTTGCTCATCTCCCTAGAATTTTGGTGCCTTGCTCTTTCTGTATAAAGGAATTCTCGATCCTTTATGTCAACCCATACCTTGATGGTTAATGAACTAGTATGAACAACCTAGTGAATGCTTGCTCATTCCCCCAAACCTCGGCCGCTGTTCCGCTGGGTCAACAAACCTAATCAACAGCCTGGAGCCTTCATGTCCTTCAACCTCGACCCTCCCAAGCCCTTTTTGGAGCGAATTTCTGAAGCCTTCCAACAATCAGAGCCCTCAGCTGGCCAATCTGGGACCGCATCGCGTGAAGAATCAAGCACCACGAAACAACACGCACGATCATTCAGTGCGCCCAAAAACGATAAAAAAACACGTGCACCGCGCCGGAAGAAAAAACCAACAGAGGTTGAAGGACCCTATAGCCTATCCCGTAGGTACTCCAGTAAGGTCCTATAAGGTCACTCAACCTCTCTTGGAATAACGCGTGCACCACGGGGTCCGTGATTGAAGGTCAGCTCGTGCACCACGCGTTCCACGCGACACCAGCCACGCTGTGCCCAGGTGTACCTTTTAGGCGCTCCGCACGCGGACCGTCCAAGGTCGGCGGAGCACACCGGATGCTCGCAAAGACTCCATGCATGGCATATAATACATTGTATATATAGAATGTATAAAGACTAAAAAACATCAATAAATACACCTGTTTTCAGGGTCCACGTGGTGTAACAATGCCTTATATTGATCCATTGGGGTTAGGCAAAGGCTTCCTTGCACCGCAGCTTTTGATCCTTTTTGAGCGGCTTCCGGGGCACCCAACGACCGGTCCCCACCTCCGGTCCGGGTCCAGCGGCTCGAGCGACTTCTGAGTCAAAAAAAACATCGGGTGACCCGGGTTCAGGAACTTCCCTTTTAGGGATCCAATCATACCTTCTCAGGTTCTGCATCGATGCAGGTTTGGAGGGTCCAAGTACCCTGTGAGAAGGTACTTGGATCCCGGGGGTTTTACTTTGACTTCGGGCCCAAATCTTACCAGATTTCTGGACTCCTTTTTTGGGGTCTCCATTGCCTTCCACCTCTGGTGGTTCCCGCCCACGCCAGGGTGGGTCTGGGTCCTTGGTCCTTGCCCCGTCTCATCGTTCACGGCGTGTGAACAACCGCACCATCTGTGGCTGGAACGGGTCACTCACTGAAGGTCTCAGTGAAGTGCGGGTTCGAAAGCACCGGGCATAAAGCCATAAAGAAGTCGCACCTCTCCGGACAAGGGTGTACGGAGGGTGGGATAGGCGGAAGAGCCAGAAGGCATAGGGGAAACATTGAACTTCTGCAGTTACTTGGAGGCTTTAAGATAGGAGCTTTGTCTTTTCTTCTTGGTTGGCGCCTCAATTGTTGTTCAAATAATCTGACCCAAATGCTGAGATGTGTGGTGTCTTCACGCTCTGAACCAGGTCAGCCTTCATGCAGACATCAGGTGACGGCAAAAGCGCAGTGGAAGGGAACCCTCCAGAAGATCTAGTCATCACCCATGAACCATTCCCTGATCTTCGAACCCAGGTAAAAGCTTCTGTTCGTCTGTCCTTTGCTGCTGCACAACAACAACAACAACGACAACAACTCTACTCCTACTCCTACTCCTACTACTCCTCCTCCTGTTCCTGCTGCTCCTGCTGCTGCTGCTCCTACTGCTACTGCTACTGCTACTACTATACCACTGACTGCCACTACTAAATACTGCAAAGACCAGTACTATACCAGAAATGCGACAAAAACTACAACAACTTTTGCTACGAGTGCTGTTGACTACCACCACCAGCATACCAGTATACTACTTAATCTTCTGTTTCTTGCATCATCCAGTCTGCTCGTCAAATCGGCACCTGGAGACATAGGCTGGAATGCTGTCGATGGCTTTCTGGAGTCCATCGGTGCTCATATGCGCGGCTTGCGGGCACGAAAAGTAGTCGTACCTCGCGTCAGCCGCGTGGCCAGAACCATCGGCACCGAGCCTCTCTGCCACAGAGTTGGCGAGCTGGTACCCTCTGTGGTCGCCAGAACCATCGACCCATTTGCAAGACGTCAACTTTGCGGTGCAGAACATGACGCTTAACTAACTGCATAGCGGTCTCCAATATTATAGATAGAAACGGCTTCCAATACATTCTTATAGTGGGTTTCTACTTTCTATCTCAAAATGGGGGTCGAAAACAACTCCTCCCTTCTTTCCTTGCGCAACGTGAGAAGCGTTGGTAGACCAAGGTGCCAAATGAAGAGAGCCTGTGTTTGCCACTCTGAAGCTGAAATGCCCTGGACCGCAGCTGACCACAGGGACCGCGGCCCCGGGGACCGCAGCGACGGCAGTTTAGTGAAGTCGGATGGGTGGAGGTGAGTGATTTCAAAGCTGATATGCTTGGCTGTTGTAAAGAGGCACTTGTTTGGCTGTGGCGAAAAAGCAAGGATGGTCAAGCAGAAATCAGGTGCAGTTCAAGTCTGAGACGTAGAACCAAAGTCTATCAAGGAAACAACTCAGAACTCCCTGGATGTTCCTAGGCATCATGCGGAGCCTTGAAAGGCCTAAGCGCATCCGATGGTTCCAATGGTGGAAAGAGAAACTGCACCCTAACCCACCAAGCCTGGAATGTCAAAACACTTGCTCTTCAGCAACCCTGGTTGCCATGGTATCGGCTACCGGTCGATTCCTCTTTGGTGTCGAAACGGAACTCGGAAGCATACGACCGGAACCAGCCAGCGACTCGACCTGGCAGGTCGTTTCTTGCCGTGTCCGAACACGGAAACAACGCTCCACCATCGGAAGTTTCCCGGAAGTCGACTCTGCCCGTTGGACTGTGTGGTGGAGGACTGCCTTTTGGAGCGTTTCGCGGGTGTGCATTCCGAACAAACAACAGATAAACTGCATGGATACCTTGACAAGAATGACTGACGGTCTGTCGACAACCAGTCTGACAGCCCATGGGAAGTGGATTGGGTGGCACCCCGTTATAGTTCGTTGCAGGAATGTCGTCTTCCACTGAACACATGCCACGTAACCATGTCTCAAACCATCCATGGGACTGGCATGTTTACCTATATACACTAGTTTCAATTATTCCCCCAACTGATCAGTAACCCTAGGGCTCAAGTCGTACCTCCTCAGGTTCGGTAGGACTGGACCCTCCTGGCACCCAGCCCAAGGCCCTTGGAACTGATCAGTAAGATATGGGTCCCATGGATGGTCGACCTGGGACCAGGGATGTTGCGTCTAAGTCTTGGTGCCCCCCCCTCAACCCCACACACCACAACGGTGTCCTCCGAAAACTCACTCTGAGAGAGCATGTGTGCTACGGGCGGTAATGTGGTGGTGATGAAAATATGCTTCTACAGGATGGTATACGACTGTTGCTTGTACATCGAAAGCTGATGTTTGTGGGAAACAAATACCAAAAATAGACAATCTGACAATCAGCTTTCCCACATAGTTTAAGTAGTCTTTCGGCAAACTTGTGCTTGCTTCAGACTGCTACTGAATAAACCGAAAATACCCGGAGATACCCGGAGTATGATCAAAGCTTCTCAACGTCACACATTTCATGATCCCCCACACTTCACCAATTCCCTGCCGAGAAGAGACCTTCTGGTCTAAAACACACACCAAACACTTCACACTTCTTCAACCCCTCCAATAGCACTCATGGACCAGCCCACCTCCCCCCATCACTCACTGATGAGCACCAGACCCGACCTGCCCCCACCCAAGCCAGAACTTCCGCCGCCTTGCTCACGCCATAGACGGCCTCCGCGATCATATCCACGCAGACCTCGCTCTGCCCGGTGATGAGGTTTCGCAGCGACTCCTTCAGAACCTGCATCCTCGGCGAGCCGCGAGAGCGAGTCGAGCAGCGGAGCTTTTCGTGGTTTTTGGGCGTCCGTCCACGAGGTGAGGTGTCCATCCGAGGCAGGGTGAGAGCTGTTCTGATGTCATGCGAAGTGCCCAGAACATGAAGATCACTGGTTGGGTCGAAGGAAACCACTGAACTGGTTGATCATCAAGCCCTTGATGACTCGCCTCTGGAACATGACGGATCTGCATCCTTCTCGGATGTAGCGTGGGCAAGGTTGTGCTGTTCCAGTAAGATAATATTCGCTGAATAGATGCAGCACCTTTAGATTCCCAGGTGTGTGGGGGTGGGGCAGGCCCTGAATCCAAACTTGAGAATGGTACAAGTGACCAAACTTGAGATCCCTGGATGAGGTCATTTAGAGACTCCAATCTTTAGGCCACTTTGCAAGAGATCTCAGCCCGCCCGTCAGATGAGATCTCCGCTGTTTCACCCAGCTTCACCCACCCTCCGTCGACGGGTTCGGTGCGGAACTTCGAGGACTGAGGAGGTCGCGGAGAGACTCACTACCGACCCCCACCGGGTCCGGAACCGGGTCCGGGACCTTCCCAGTCTGAGGTTGAAGGACCCGAGTGCGTTTATCCCACTGACGTTGGATTTGAGCAAAGACAGTTCGATTCGAGGTGCCATGCTGATGATCCATGGGAGTTTCCGGGGGTGTACAGGATTGGAACCCAACAAGGCAAAGTGACATCTTCTCAGCTTAGCATCTGCTTGAACTCAGGGTCTGGATGCCCTTGGCCCACCCATTGGTGTGACACAAAGGCAGCTTTTCCCAGCTTCTTTTCGAAGACCATGAGCTGGCCGCCTGACAAAAAGAATACACAAACAAACACTGCCAAGAGAGGTTGAACAGCCCTCTAGCCCATCCCATATGTACCACAGACCAGGGTCCTAGTTCAGGTCTCTCAACCTCTCTTGATGGCCGAGGGGTGACCTCTCTGGAATGTCTAAGCCAGCTTTCCCTAGTGCTCCAACCGCATTCTCCAAGGGCAGTCAGCTAGACTGTTAGACCGTGGACTAGACCATGGACTAGCACCCACCACCTTCGTAGAAACGAAGGTCGTTGGGCCGGTCCGGGGCGGTCCAAACGAAACGAGTTGAGACACCTTCCCTGACCACCACCGTTTTGTTTAGGCTTAGAGGCTTAGTGGGTCCTAGTGGGTTCCGGATGGTCCTGGTCTACTGCAAAGCAACCGCACAGTTTACGAGGTCGACCTTGCTTTTGCTTTTTAGACTAAGCGCCCTTCCACAAACACACCCCCGAAGCTAGAAGGTAGTCTAAATGCACCCTGCCTGCTAGCAACTCTTCATGCGGCTTGATCGCATTCATCTTCATCACCGCATCTACCTGAAATTCATGTGCTCACACCAAAGAGACTCCAACGCATCCCAATCGACCCAGTTGGCACAGTTCACTCTTTGGATCCCTACGTATCCGCCATAAAACCAAAGAGCGCATTGGACGGGGCTCCAAACCCAATCGGATTTCCGGACCTGAACATGGGAGCATTCTTGGCCGGCACCTTCACATGAAAACACATGTAAACATTTGCAGGGGCAAATGCAAAGGGAGTTGCTTCTGCATGAGTTGCACTTACAGCCATCTCTGGTGCCCAGAGGGGCCCAATTTGCAAGAACAAGGTCACGCCACCAGCAACGACCCCACGCGTCTCCGCGCACCTTCTGCAAGATCATAATGGATGTTTCGGTGTCCCGTATACAGCATGTCGGCCGGCATTTGAGCTACCAAGTACTGCGCTAAACCAATGAAAAGAGTGTTGCCTTATTCTTGTCCCATTTGGCAATGGAGTTGTAAGATGAACATGGGTTCCCCCCACGACCAAAAGACCGTCCTCCTTCTTGGAACGATCTCGGTGCTCGCCGGGAACCCCCGGTCCGTGTTCTTGCGCTCGTGGGCTGTTGGGGCGGCTCCGCATGCGTCTGGGATTCAGTCAAGTTCTTCGGGGACGGCCACTTCTTCAAGCTTTGCCACTTGCGGGAATTACGGCATGGCGTGCCAGAGTCAGACTGTTTGGATCATTTCCGGAGTGAATTCATCGGCATGCAATCGCTTCCCTTGAAGCAACGTTGAGATTTGGCCATTGCAGCAAAGCTTGTTCGCATGTGTCTTCGAGTGCGCCGTTCGTTTGCCAGCCAGACCATTCCTTTTTTAAGAAACTATTTTACTTCGAGTGATCCCCACCGTGACATTCAATCATTTGTCTTGATGCCATAGTGAGGAGCATGTTGCCATGGTCGTGAGTATTGTAGTTCTCGATTTTGTTTGTGGGTGGTCGGGTTGCGTGCTGCGGTTGTGTGTTGTGGTTGTCTGCCGTGTTGTGGTTGTGGTTGTGTGTTTGTGATTGTGTGTTTGTGGCTGTGTGTTTGTGATTGTGTGTTTGTGGATGTGTTTGCGGTTGTGTTTGTGGCTGTGTGCTTGTGATTGTGTTTGTGGTACCGGTAGTGGTTGTGATTGTGTGTTTGTGGTTGTGTGTTTGTGGTTGTGTTTGTGGTTGTTTGTTTGTGGTTGTGTGTTTGTGGTTGTGTGTTTGTGGTTGTGTTTGTGTTTGTGGTTGTGGTTGTGGTTGTCTTTGTGGTCGTGTTTGTGGTTGCACGTTTGTGGTTGTGTGTTTGTGGTTGTGTGTTTGTGGTTGTGCTTGTGGTTCTGTGTTTGTGATTGTGTTTGTGGTTGTGTGTTGTGGTTGTGTTTGTGGTTGTGTGTTTGTGGTTGTGTGTTTGTGGTTGTGTGTTTGTGGTTGTGTGCTTGTGGTTGTGTGTTTGTGATGGTGTTTGTGGTTGGGTGTTTGTGGTTGTGTGTTCGTGGTTGTGTTTGTGATTGTGTTTGTGGTTGTGTGTTTGTGGTTGCGTTTGTGATTTGGTTGCGTGTTTGTCATCGTGTTGGTGGTTGCGTGTTTGGTTGTGTTTGTAGTGTACGTGTGTCTGTGATTGTGTTTGTGTTTGCGTGTTTGTGTTGCGTTTGTGGTTGTGTGTTTGTGGTGGTATGATTGTGTTTGTGATTGTGGTTGTGTGCTGTGGTTGAGGTCCGGCACACTGGGCGTGGATGGTCGCGGTTGATTGAGGTCCGGCGGAGGAGGCGGAGGAGGCTGGCGTAAAATCTAACAACCCTCACCTGACAGGTGGGGAAAAAGGATATTCCAGTCTTCCAACGCCGGGACTCCAGTAGCACAGACACTGTCATTCGGAAACCCCAGGTGTGCTCCCAGGTGCTTTTTAGGTCCGTGGAGCCTCACCGACGTCGGCTGGTCGGGTATGTGGCTCCCGGTCTTCCGGTTTGGTGGAGACTTTCTCATCAGGTTTCGGCTAGCATGTTCTGCTTCCTGGACCCATCTCCCCCCACCAAGACCGAAGGTCCACAGCAGGGTGATGTCCACAGGAAAAAGGCTGGCTGCACGAGGGCACGATGGCGCTGTCAGCTCCAGACGCTTCCACAGCAGGAAAAAGCGACCAATGGCAAAATGTTGTATCAGCAGCAGCAAAGGGCTATGGCTGTCATCTGCCAATGCTGTGGACCGTCCAGTCCTTCTTCTTTTACACCGACCAGCCATGTTCACATGGAAATTGCACTATTTTTTGAGCAGCCAAGGCCACAATTGTGCTTCCCAAAGCCTTGCAAAACAGCGGCCATCCAGCTCAAACTACCACTGTTTGCTTGCACGAAAAGGATCCTTCCGAAACACCAAGTGTGGAGTGCTGAGCTGCGCTTGGGCACGTTCAGGAGCGGACTGGCTCGGTGCCTGGACATCTCATGGATCAACACGCCCTTCTTTACACAGCCACCCTCTAGACATGCTCCCATGGAGGCCTTCATGCAGGCCTGCCATGCACTCCCCACGCTATTTTGGGCCGGTTGGCTCCCATGTTCCTTTGCTGGTTGGTTCGAGGGGCTGAAGGTCATAACTTCCTTGTAGGTTGGATTGAGCGTGTTGCCGTCGCCGTTCAAGTGTTCTAGGCCTGGCATACGTGAAACCGATTGTTCCACACTTGCTATCATGGTTGGGCCTCTCTTCTCGATCTCCTTTTGCATCAAGGCAGTTTTGCGAAGAAACCTATGCATCGAGGCACCTTTTTCGGACATAGTAACTGAGCCCTGTAGAAGTTCAATTGAGCCACAGGGTTCTCAGGGCAATCCCTGTTCAGCACTCAAAGCAAAGTATCCTGAACTACGTGCTGCAAGAGAAAAACTGCTGACAGCCAGGGGGGTGGGCCTTTATTCAAAGAAGGGATTCGCTAGCAGCCAGCATGCAAAGGCCACCGGTCAAAACTGACTGGTTCATGGGAAGGTGCAGGAGGATATTGTGTTTCATCATTGCTTTGAAGAACTTCTTTGATTGGCTGCCCCTTTGGCCAGCTACCGGCAGAGGAGCAAACTTGAAATTTGTTTGCCCCAGTGCGCCTGCTTTGTTTCTCACAAAGACGCTTGAGCCCCTCTTGACGACCCTGCACCCTCACGATCCTACACTTTTTCTTGAGTATCCATCCTAATCTGGATAGGAGTCGACCCTTGACCCTCGGATGAAAATTAAGGTGTCACACTCTCTACCAACTTGGTGATATGATATATGCACGGCTTGTGATATTCCTTTCCAACCACACGCACACCAAGACCAGGCGGCTGGAAGTGTATACATCCTCGGATTGGCAGCGCATCGAGCCACATTCAATTCGGGGATGTCTGTTTCGATTGGCCCTCAGGATTGAGATTTATAAGACGATTCAACTTGATTCAACATATTGAAAACATAACATCCCTTGGAGAAGGAGAATAGACCCCACTGGTTGTTGGGTTTGCTCCATCAAAAAGTCAAACATATTATATCTAACACATATAATTTATACATATACATCCAATACAATTATCCATTATAATATATCCACCAATCCACAAGTCCTGTCTGCTGGATCAGTTGTATCTCTTGTCAAAGGCGTGGCGTCCTTCGAGCGCCCACTTGTGGCATTGTCCACATAACATCCGTTCTTCCAAACCCAAGAAGCTATGCCATTTTGGGGGGGGTCTTGACCTAAAGAAGGGACTATGGCAGTGGATCCATATTCCCAGAGCTCAAAACGGTAGCCGATAGCTTAGACCGATAGCGTGATCTATTCGGTTCATTTTGGCCGTTATGTTTGTGGCGCATGAGTCCTCATGCAAGTGTC